CACAGCCGCGATGATTTATTTCTGATCAGTCATTAATAATATCTTCCCAATTGTGTAATTAATTTGTTTTATCGGTAGAGGTTTAATTATGGAAGGTGACGTTAATAGAGGTCATCGTGCCAAACTTATTAAAAGCTGAAAATAAAAAATATCGACAACGGCCTAAATATCTAAAACGTTGGAACAATTATTTCAACATTTTTGGATTACGATAGTTTATCGGAAAGTACCTATCAGATAGTAGTAATGATAAAGTTTGCTCGTGGCTTTTTAACGAAAGTAGAATATTTTTCAAGATATTGGGTCATTCACAGCAACTAGTTATCTTTACCATACCAACCGTGTCCAGAACCTAAAATTAAACTGACTTTTGATGTCCTTTTGACCCCTGTAAGTAATTGAAAGTTGAGAAAAAAAGCTGGAATGATAACACATGTAAGACTGTCCTAGTTGTCGTACTCACTAACAAATTATAAAAAAAAACATTTGCCATGCGTCTAATTATGAAACGATAAAAGCTTTGACGGCTTCAGACCACATCTAGCCGAATATGTGATGCAATGCCTACATATATAATTTCTTTCAAATTAGTATAGTAATAATAATTTAATTACTCTTTGATGATATTAGTATCTAAAGTTTTTAAATGTTTTATCGCTCCAGATGAACCCGATGACAAAATGGCATGTCTTTCAAATATTTTTGTTAACGGTTATCATATTAAATGACATCACACCGATAATGCGACTCGGGCCACTATAGACATTCAGTCACTGTGTCCCAAATACTTGCACATAACAACTTTGAACTTTGGTAACTTTTAAGTACTCCAGCTGTTAATTCAATCAAACATTTTCTAAATTTTCCAATTGATACAAAACCTGCTTCTTTATGATCTGCCGTATTTAGTTCCTTAATATTCTCAAGTTAGCATAGAATACCACCGGGTTACAGTGTTTGTGCATTTAAATAAATGCATATCGCTATTTACTTTTCGGTATCGAATCTCAAGTAATTTTTAGTATCTAACCAATTGAAACCGTTGTAGAGGTCATGTATGCAGCAAAGTCAGGCTTCTGACAATGTTTTCTTTACTAAAAAAATATTCGCATCGGTTAATCAAAAACATAATTAGTTGCTGGCTGAGTAACCCAAATTGCCCATTTATTTCAGGATTAGCTGATTATAATTTGCAACAAATATTAATTAAAATAAATTTTATTGTTGCAGATGATCATTAAATGGTTCATTTTGATAATGGTAATCCTCACATTTTACCTTACATGGAATTGCACGTTGATAAGTGCAGATGAAGTAACTGACTTGGTAAAAGAAAAAAACTTGAAGTATTGCGGAGGAGTTCTTGCAGACACTTTGCACACGATTTGCAAAGGAAACTATCCAACACACAAACCAGGTAATTTGATGCTTAGTTTGACTTAATTCAATATTTAGAAGTATTTAGCTGATACATCTAAAAGGATTGCGGCTATTTGATGTAACGAAGATGAAAAAAAACAACCGAAATATTAGTATATAAAAAAGTAACATTTTTGAAAAACTGGACAATTATTCGGGGATCGGTCAAGAAATTATCTAATCTTTCTGTATTTTACTATATAGCTACATGCTGGTTCAAATACTACATGGAATAAAATGTTTGAATCTTCTATATATGTGACTAATCTTTGCTATAATAAGCCAGTATTTTTAATCAAGAAAAGCTTTGTCCATTTAAAAAAACTGGTTGTACAAAATTTGTCTGCAAAAAATTCTGCATATTTTTTACTTCACCGCTTTGAAAAATGTGCAGTGACAGTCATATTATAGTACGAGTGCTTCGAGATATTTATTATCTAATTGACTATTAAATTAATTTGGTAACTTACTGATAAACTATGGCATGCCTTCTAAATTTGATTTGTTTCAAAGTGCATAGTATATGTTTTAGTTTATTCAGATGAAGTTGATTAACTGTTATCAAGCAAAAATACAGAATTGCACCAAGGTCAGATTAGAGCTTAAACTTTATTTTATTGAGATATATGGGTTAGCAGCAGCAACTGTTAGTATTTCTTTATTGCAATTATTACAGAGAGATTTAAATTAAGTTACGAGTAGCAAAATTGAACGGATTTCGCATGTTATATGTAAGTTGCAATGAGTCTTCGTATTTGGAATGTTAAATTAAATTGTTAAACATCTCTTTAGGGTTATCCTTAAGAAAATAATTAGTTTCTAAGATTTTCGTTTTTAATTTTTACCTTGAACGTGAAATTCATAATTATTTTTTGAAAGTCTGAATGTTTGCTTAATAAATCTGAATTTTTATTAGAAAATACGTTTATCTCGTCAGTTTAACGTTTTGTAACACGCTTGATTTTCGTCAAATATTTTTATAATAATATATTCAGAATTAAAATACTAAATATTAAAAATTTCCCTACTGCTGAAGCTAGATTAGATTTCTGCATTGAGATAGTTCCGAAAATCTTCACCAATACATGATTTTCGCCGAGGTGCTCAGATGAATTGTATTGATTGATCTCGATATGAATTCTCAACTTTCATGAAATATCGACTAACAGAAGATATAGAATAGTGACAACTACTCCTAAATCAGCCGAAACATATTTGCTAAAATGAACATCATCCTGATTTAAAAATGAATGGTCTCAAGTCGGTAGTAAAGAAAACGCGTTTTTCAAAAAGGCTCGGTACATGTTCCTGCTTCTATCAAAGAGGTTGGTTTATGATTAATTATTCCAACCTAAAGTGGAACTCTTCGGGAGTTCCAGTGTTCCCATCTGTTCTTCCAGGTAGGAAATCTGATAATCTTCAAGCCGCACGTTAAAAGTTATCAGAAAAACGTAATATATTAATTCTTCTTCTTAGATTGAAGTTTATGTCATGTGAGCAAAACGCTTTAATTTTTTTAAATTGTTCTTACTCTGACTCGGGCTTCAACCTTGACCCCTGGTTTTCTTATTCCAAATACGTATTCGAAGATGAAATCGTCATCCTTTGCAATCTTATACTTTGTCTCACGGATAACACAGCCACATAACCATTTTTTCCGTAGCGATAAAGGGAATACCAGCTTTTTCATGGCGCTTAAGACGCTTGATCGACTGGTCTGATTAGATTTAGTTCAGCTCTTTTGGTGATGGAGACATTTGCAGTTTTTGAAAACCATATTTTCGCGATTTTCTCCAAAACTATAAAAGCTGCTATAAAAGAAGTTTTCTTATCAAAAAAGTTTTTGTATAAGAAAACTAAGCCACACGAAATAAAAATGTAAAAAAATTGCAATTGTTTCACCCACCAAAATCTTTGGAAAAAAAATTGCAATTTCTTGACAGGTGGTTAGATATGGAAACGTTACATGAGAAATCGACTTTGGTTGATTCAAAAAAAATTAATATGTGAGCTACAGGGGAAAGACGAAAAAGTTTGTACAGGCTCTTATGGAGGGGAAATTTTCAAAATTGAATAAAATTGTCAAATTACATTAGAATTGGTTCAAATGGACATCAATTAGTATTGAGAGAAATAGAAATCAACTCCATGTCAAATCGATTCGGTAAAGTGGAAGGCAAAAAACTCCAGTTAACTCCACGCAATCAGTAAATTTTACTACCGATCAACTGAAATGCTTCCCGAAAATCAGCAAATGATCATAAATCTATTCTAGTTATCGCGAAACGTAGCTAATAGGTTTGGTTAATGATTTGTGAAAGCTGTAATGCGAAACTATGAGTTTCCGATTTTAGCCAGACAAATGAATCAAAAAAATCTTCGAGACTTTTCGACCTATCCATGTATTTACGTAAACAAAAATTTCGAAAATTTCAACAAATAATTTGTTTGAGCTGGCGATGATAAAGGTCGATAGAGGGATAACGAAGCTTTAAAATTCAATGGAATCGATTGCAAGAGGGTAAAAGGCTGTCCTTGAAAATTCGAGTTAAAGATGGAAACCGATTTTAAGTATCAATAATTAAGTTTGGTATTGTGTATTGTGTTTGGTGTTGTATTGTATATATTGTCGTCCCTATGTTATAAGATGTTATGTTTATAAGTTTATAGGTGTTTTCTTACTTATGTCCCTATGTATGTAAGGCATAGATGATGGTTTACCCCGCTTTAACGTCTCTTTTGAATAAAGCGTACCTACAGATGTTTAGAGTTTATCCGTCTAAATGGTTCTTTTTCAATTAGACCTTGATCCTGACTTGACAGAGTCAAACTGACTGCGGATTTGGATGCAGCTCAAAATACTAGAGGATATAAGTGACTCAACACCAGATCAAAGAAAAATGTATTGTGAAAGCTCATTCGTTTTGCATGTAAATTTAAGCTCCGTCGATATACATATAACGCAGCGCTGTCTAAAGTTTATAATTATTAAATATAAAACAAAAATGTTTTTTATTTTAACATAAGCTTTTTTGGCACAGTTTTCTCTCACTATCTTCTTTTACTACAGTTTATTAACTTGGTCTTTACAAGTTCCAGCTCTAACAGGTCAAGGCTTCGTATTTTTCTTTAAATCAATTAGATTGCAAGTATGCAACTTTGTATACGGATGAATGTTTTGTATGACTTCGAAACAAATTCTCCTATCAAACTTCTGTTAACTAATTGACAACTTTTCAGCTTGACTGGTTTTATTTTGCACTTCAATATACAACTCAACATCCAGGCTAGTTAGTTTAACCATTTTCAGCAAATGAAATTAAAACTAGTTTTGTTTGGGCAAACATTTTAAAATTGCGTTGCAATTGCATTTCACTATTTTTCTACCAAAAAAATTAATTTTCAGCGTTTCGACACAAAAAGACTCACAAGAAGCAAGACCAAATGGCGTATGGCAGGAGACGAAGAAGACGTGGCGTTTATAGTGATTGCTGTGCGCACCCTTGCTCAATAGAGCAGCTTTCAATGTACTGTGCAGAGCCTTCAACGAGTACAGCAACAATTAAGCCTCGGATTAGATGAAGTTCGAAACAGAAGTTTTCGGTGCGTATTTCTTCATTTTCAAGTGGGTTGTGGTTCAACAAGTAAAAAGCGGCCAAATGAATGGTGAAACAATAGAAATGTGATAGGAAGAATCAATTCTTATTTCAGCCTCAAATTAAGGTAATTGACTTAAGTTAGTTACTATTGGAATGAATTCGGCGATGTGATGGATAAGGAACATATCTTTATCAAGATATAAAATTAACCTCACGTATGAAGTGCTGTTTTAAAAAAGTATCATTTAGCGGTGTATTGAATAAATATAATATGAAATCCTTATTTTATTATACATTTGTAATTTCATTATCTAAGCGGTCGAATCTGACTCATAAAATTACGCCACAAAATGTGTGTTGATTAGACAGCAAACAATTTATTTTCTGTCTGTTCAAATTTCTTCATCATAATTTAAATTTAGTTCTCAGCAATTTTGTCTTGTGTTTTGAAAAGATCAAACTTTTGCGCTTGAAATTGGAAAAATTTTAAATAATTTGACAAACATTTTTCTGACTTAAAGTTAGTCACATTAAAGCTTAGTTTATATTAATTGAAACAAACAATAACAAACATTTTTAAAAATTTACAATTTTTCAAGTTTAATGGAAACTTCCGTCAAACTTTGTAACCGGTCGATTACTTACGTACTACGTAGTTAACTAACCAAATCTAAGAGAAACAACGTTAAAGACGTAATAGTAATGGCAAAATATACATCAATTATTGAATTATTGTACTACAACTAGCAACTTTTTACAATATCTAGTAGGTAGCAAATACCTAAAATGCTCAATGCAAAAAATTACCTAAATGAATGCAGGGTTAATGAACAGAATAAATGGTCAGAAACATTAAAGTGCAAAACAAAATAAAATTATTGAATCCCCTGTAAGGTATTTGTATCAATATTAAAACAGTGATTCATTAACAATCAGAATGCTGAATATCAGCAATTGTCCATACGTACATTTATAGTTTTGCTATTGCGAGATGATAAAATTTAGCAAATCCACTAAACGGTGGAGATTTAAAAGAGTGAAAACTTATCAACAATATTTCAGAAAGAAAAATTGTGTGCCCTATTCAAAAACGTCGGTATGGCAGTTTTTAGAAATGCGGACTTTTTTATAAAATATCAACTTACTAATAATACCTACGCAATAAAAAAAAAACGAAAAAAAAACAAATTTCGAATCGAATTTAATGTTTACTTTTAAACTTTAAACTTTCAGACTAGACACATCCAAATTGATGGCAATCATTCGACCTCAAGTTTCGAATCTCACCTAAACAAGAACTTGTCAAGTAACTTTAGTACTAATAAAACACTGTATATGACAAACAAGACACCAATGGGGTGAATTTCTCTGAGTAATCTCTTTTGAATCTCATAGTTGTCTTGTCTAATTTACTTTTTTTTGTTTTGCTGCAGTCATTGCAATTGTTCTCTGTTTGTTTGCTTTTATATTGCGCTTAATTTTTCTCTCTTATTCAGTCAACCTTTTCAATTCTTTTCTTTGAATTTTCAAATGCATATGATAGACCACAAGATTACTAAGCTTCTATTCAGAAACTACGATAAATAATGATGAAATTAAATGCATAAATTCCTTACACTTCAGAGATAAATAATGTGTAAGTTATCATATATCTGTTATCAAATTGGTATCTGTTTTACTGTTATTTGTACTTTTCATTTACTATCGGACTATGATACCTTCACCATATAGCAAATAAGTAATGTTGTTTTAAGATAACATCTTTTTTAAGAGTTGCAGATAAATACGTCTTACTGACTATTTGCTTAATATGAATATAGTGTTTCGAAATGCGCATAGACGTGTTTCAATAATTATGTAAGCTAAAGTCCATTTAAGCCAAAAATATTTATAAATTCGAACCATTTGTTATGTGTAGATTAATTTCAAAGTACAAAGTGAAATTTTGCTTCATATCAATATATTTTTAACATTTTTGGTAGTACCTATTTATAGTAAGATCTTATATGTACAGTTTCTGCTATACACATTTGTTTCTTTCTTTCTAATTTTGTTTGCCGAGCATATGGATTTTTAGTTAGTCGAAGCAATGTTATTGGGACATTATTCAAAGAAATATTTTTTTTATAAGTATTAATAATAATGCTGTAATTTTAGAAATTCCAAATCGTTTTCTTGAACTTGATGAGGTCATTTTTGCTCCTTGACTCTTTTATATAATAATTATCAAATGGTTTGCTGATTCTTTCTGTTATCATTTTTAAAACAGCATATACTTGTACTAGTCGCGGTCTATTTAGGATACCCATTAATTTTGCTGTAATTAGACCACAGGATAATACAAAATTCAACGAGGATGGCTAAGGTTATGACATATTGCCTAGATAACGATTGTGAAAAAATTTTGATAATGACGCTGAAATAAATCTCAGCATTTGAGTATTATGAAATTATGGTGAATTGTTTAGATTTAGTGAAGGTCAATTCGTCATGAATTAAATTTATGCTGAAGGTGTTGATGTGACATAACTTTAAAATGAGAAGGTTATTAAAGTTAAAGTTTATATATAAGAATTAATTACCACAGTAAGATCGCATCAATTCACCTTTAAAGTGTAGTAGAGTTAATTTATTAAGATCGCGATAAGGAATCGGGTAAAATATATTTTAAACTTAAGTTAAAATGTTATTTGTACATATCGCTTTTCTCCCTTAAGCACTTTTAAAATTAGAATGATTGTGCTTAACTGGTATCTTTATTACCTCACAAATGTTGGTCATGTTTATATGAATAAAATTCGTGTTTAATCAGTTTTACTGCTTCTTTCGTTATTTTAAATGTTCTTTTGTCAAGAAAGAAAGTTAAGACACCAGTTACGTAGAATAAGGAATTCCTTCTAACATTTATGACCTAATTGGTTTAATTCATCATCGATTTGTTTCGTAAATCATATTTCTTTCATTCACATATGTTTATAAAGTTTTCATAGAAAAAAGCTGTGAATGCTATACGTATTAAAATCGAAAGCAAAGTGTTAACAATATTCGCTTCACTAAATAAAATGTAGTTTTTATTTATTATGAATAGATCTCATTAGACTTTAATGTGAAAGTAATTGAAAATATACATACATAGTTCCAGATAGTTAATTAATAAATGCAAGTAATTTGTTTGTTAAAAAAATAATAAACCAATCCATTGCTATATTGTGATAACCTTAGTGGAATGTACACATCAGTTTATCTCTAACAAATAAACTTTATTTACACATTTGTAATTTTTTTTCAGTTTAACTTCTACTCATATACGTGCGAAATTCGTTAGCAAAACATTATTAGACTAAATGTTTCAACAAAAAGTACAGTGTTCGTTAGTTAATGGGGAATTTGCACAGTATGAATTTTAATATGTACACATTTACCAATAAAATTTATTACACGCATATTGGCAACTCAAATTTCACTTCAGACGGGGAAAGGAGTGCAGTATTAAACTATTTATTACAGTTCTAGAGAAATGCTTTGTTTTACTTTATCACCAAAGACAAGATAATTTAGTTATACATCAGATAAATATGATAATTAAGCCATTACAGATTGGAATTTAACCCGACCAAAACAGATGCTGGAACTGATATAAAGTCTGAATTAGTAGACTACACTCGTCACATACACTTGCAGCTAAATTTAAAATGGATAATCAAGAAACTAACAAAACGTTCAGAGAAAGACAAATTTACGTTAACAAAACAATAAGAAACAAAACACAAAGATACTGATGAATGGCTTCGAAAGAAACTAGATCAACTTACAAGAGTGCACATCAGGACAGAAGACGCAAAGATTGGCGATATATAAAACTAGATACAGCTTTCACCGAAGAACTAAATGAATTTAAAATGTAACGTAGCAACAAAACTTACGTAAATATTTAGTTATTTTGATGAATCAATCGAGTTCATTCACTTTGGGCAAGTGGTAAATTATTCAGTGTTTTGGTACAAAAATAAGCAGAACTTTTAATTTCGTCTCCATTATTAACCCTTTTCGTATTTTATGTACTAAACCTATTTTTGTGCTCTTTGTAAAAGAAGCATTCATAGTTCTTCCACAACCAAATATTTCGTATTGCTTGCTACTTAACACGTTCAGACATTAACTGCAAATGTCGTAAGCGACAATGTTCTTCTATCATAAATTATTTGTTGAGCGTTTTATAATTATTAACGGACCGAATTTGGTAGTGTTTGTCTCCGAATTGCGTTTCTCGGAAATTGCATCAAAAAAGCGACTTTTAAAATATGGTCTTCACGTAGGAACAAATTCACAGCAAGTTTCATTAATATTTTTCGAAGCACCTTCCCGATATTACAAAAACCTTCATTTTAGTTTCGTTTATGTAAAAAATAATTAATGATAAAAATTTTTGTTTCCTGGGAAAACATAAATACTTTTTTGCGCAAAAACTGTGAAATCTACAAGATTTTGTAGAGAGCATAAAAATTCAAACAAGGACTAGTGCATCAACTTAAAAAAAACGTTGATTTCAGCGACAAAATAAAAAGTTCTGGTAGATTTTTTACTTAACACAGACGCTCATTAATTCATCACTTCGCCAAAACAGATAAACTCGGTTGCTTCATCAAAATATGAGTCTTATATAATCCATCGTATCATTCTCTCGATATTTCGAAAACCATATTTTTTCTAAAGAACTTTATTCATCAACCGCAGAGGGAGGAGCTAGACATTGTTTCCTAATGAAAGTGAGAACAGATCGATTTATTTATCCTTCGAGTATCATTTTTATGCTAACCAGACACTCTGTATTTTGTGTTTACTGTTATATTGTAGCATTTAAGGTATCAATGCTTTCAATTTCAAATAACCCTGCAGGAAAAATGTGCCAGCAATTTTTACAAACTGATCGGCAACAATTAAAATGAGTTTCATATTTTTTAATGATATTAAAGAAAACTAGTTGAAAACGAGTTAAATACTAATTGCCTCAAATTATTATAAGCATCTTTATAACTCATACAAAAACTTTATTTAATTTGACAGCAAATATCTATTGCTTTAAGTTGTTAGAGGTCGTCGGACACCGGTTCTGGTTACTGTCGTGGAACTTTCTAAGAAGTCAAAAGCTTATAGGAGACAACAACCCAACGCTTTCGCAAACCCGAAACCCCAAACCTAAAGTTTCTCTAACTCGAGACGCTGTTCTTTCAAAAGTTCCCAGAAAATCCTGCCATACTCTGTACAACTGTGGATGTAACAGAAGGCATTTTTGAGGAGGAGAAGATGTAAAAAGGCAATAGGTATATCTTTCAAATGTTGTAAATATGACCGGTTTTACCTTACCAGTGATCGCCAAATCCAAAATAAACCCAATTTCAATAGCCAAACTGAGACAAAATTAGTTTTTATTTATATAGATACATATACAAAAGTATTTTTTGCAAAATAAAAGCAAAAAAACTGAAAGATTGCACATATTTCACCAAGTTTATTTAAACAATACAGTGGAGGTTTGAAAAATAAAGTGGAATAAAGAACGTGCGATGTTTGCAGTCCGCAAAATCCCCTAATCTACAAAACAATAGGAAACTCGGGATAAATCATCTCTAATAAGGCGCCAAACTTATAACTTCGCAGGATGTCATAATCCAAAATGATAGAGAAACACAGAAATATTGCGGCTATGGTAAACCAAAATCACATCGTCAAGGTTCTTATCTCTAAAAACGTGTGTATTTTTGTGTCTTTTGGACTGTAAGACTTCCTCCTTTGAAGAGAAATCTCCAAACTACTATATTTATCAATTTCATCATCGACCTTAATCGGTGCGAAATCAGACAAAAATAGCAGAAGGTACCAAAAGTTTGACCAATATTTGCTAAAGCTTTGGAATTTAATTTAGAGAACAATTGAGAGGCAAAGCAATGGAATTTAATGTAGAGAACAATTGAAAGGCTTTCTTTGTAATAAATTTGCCTATCCTCTAGTATAGTAAAAATTGTGTCGATTGTATTTCAGAAAACATGCTAATGATTGGGCGATATAAGTTGAACAAACGCCTGCATAAACATTCCGACAAAGATTAAGAGAACATAAATTCAATAATAATTAGAATCTGTAAATTTGTGTGATATCTGATAATTTAAGGCTTGTAAGAAGCAGCTAAGCCACCATGTTAAAACCAAAATTAAGCTCTATCAGTTTTATCAGTATATGATTAGGACTTTCCAGCTACACCTTCTATTTGGTAGTTTAATGCTTGAAGCCGAGTGCATGAAAAGTTGGCCGCTAGTATTCATAAAATATCTTAATAAATGGTTATGTAACCCTAATAGGATATTACGTAAAAATTCCTGAATCTCACTATAATGCCTTATTTAAAATACTGTTGTTCCACAAAATGTGAATTAGTTGTTAACAAATATTTTCCCTTAAAACGGCCTCCCACTAAGTTCGGCTTTGCAAATCTGCAAACCAGTCTGATTTAATGGTGGTTTGTCGAGTCAAATGTCACGTCTACATGAAAGGCACGCAGAAGAATCTGCACCATTATTTGCATTTACAGTTGTATAAAAATATACAGCCTCAATTAATAATGCTACAGCCTGGGATTGGCTGTAAGAGCCGGCGGCACATCTATGCGGTACTTTCACGCAGAAAAATCTGCTTTGGTTTATTCAATTTTACCGGTACTGGTCGGCAAATAAACGGCTTCAACATCGGCAAATTTCATTTATTTATTTATTTATTGCTCGGCATCACCCATTGAAGCGTCCACACCGGACGCAACGATCCACAAGGGAATGCCGATTCCGATGGGGACACGACTTTAGAGTCCACAAAGATGTTTAAGGGTGATTTGTTGGATTTTGTTGAAATAATGCCGCATCTATGCATCTTAAGAAGTACGAATTTGAGGTATACATGATGGGAAACGATGTAGACTTCGCTCTCATCCAGGAAAGCTTTCTTCGCCCCCAAACTCCATTCTACAATAACTAAATATATAATAAATAAAGTCACCACTCCTGATGATTACAAAACTTTCTTCAACCTTAAACCAACCACTCTCCTAGCTGGGGATCTCAACAGCAAACATATTGCATGAGGCTGTAAAATGTCCCAAAATATCCGACGACCTAGACATCCAAATCCATGCCCACTATGACCCTTAGTTGCCGTAATTTGGCAATTTCTCAGCTCCGACCATAACCCAATTCAAATTATACTTAAGTAAAATTTTATTCACAACCCTCTCCAACCACTAATTTAACGAACACCGGGACGACCTTTCACATTCTCTACACGAAATACGTTTTCGGAAACCCAGATAACAAACTCCCTTCAACGAATTCAACTACCTCAATAACACCATTTCCGAAAAAATCACCGATGCTATGCAAAAAGCAACAACTTTTAAAGAAACACAAACAAAAACTATTTCGGCCTTCCTATCGATATGAAAAGCAAAGTAATCGAAAACCTAATCAAAACTACGAAATCGCCTTAAGCGACTAGCTGAAAGAAACACTGATTGCCATCTCAACCTCCAAGCAAATCAATTGGCTAACCAAATTTGTAAAATAAATAGCAAAAACTGATAAAATTATCTGGAAAACTCGGAGCCTCGTGAAATTTCGATATGGAAACTTTCGAAGAATTCCCAAAGAAAATCCTACACTATTCATGGCAGCAATGGGTTGGTCGACAGCGACAAGGAAAAAGCAGAAGCTTTAGCCGACTCCCTAGGTTCTGCGTTCCTGGGAAATTCCTTAGGTGATGATCTGGACTTCGAGGAAAAAGTCAAAGATCATTACCATGCTCAAAAACAAAGACGCTAACTGAATCGGATGAAACAATCCCCCCCGTAACTATGGACGAACTTAAAACTGAACAAAATTTTTTAACCTAAGCGGCTCCAGGCATTGACAAACTTTCAATCAGGGTGATTAAAATGCTCCCCGAAACAGTCCTACTAACTACTAACGTTAATTAATAGTGATTTTACTGCAATTTTCAAACAGCTGCAGTAGTCCTTCTCCCAAAACCCCATAAAAATAAAACCTTTCGCCAAAACTGGCGCACAAATATTCTTCTGCCCACTTACAGATAATTTCTTTAGAAAAAGACTCTTAGAATCAAATTCCCATAATAACTCTCTCACTTGCAATTCGGCTTCATGAAAAATCACGATTCCACAATGTAAGTAACCAGACTTGTGGAGGACGCCAAACTGAGGGTTCAGGGAAAAT